TGTTCCCTCTAAGTCCTCTCAGGTTAAACATACCCAGTGTCTTTAACTGGACCCTGAGTGGGTCCTGAATGTCTTTGATATCCTGGTCTCTCTTCTCCACATGCTCCCCAGATCATCAATGTCCTTCCTAAAATGTGGCACTCAGAACCTAACACAGTACTTCAGATGTGTTCTGAGAAGCAAAGAAAACATCAGGATGATAACCTTTCTTGTTCTGGATCCTACACTTCAGTTAAGGTGGCCGAGGATCACATTAACTCTGTTGGCAGGCACATCACGTTGAACATGCAGTCCGACTAAAACCTCCCCTTTTCACACAAACTTTTTTAGACACCCCTTCCACACCTTGAACTTGTTCACTCAAGTTTTTAACGCAAGCGTGGAACTTTGTATTTATTGCTACTAAATTTCTTTAGTTCACTTTTGCAACCTTGTTGCAATCTTTCTGGATCCTGATTCTGTTATCTAACACATTAGCCATCCCTCCCACTTTTGTGTCTTACAACTTGCTAAGCATGCCATCTCTGCCTTCATTCTTGCCACTGATAAAAACACTGAACATACATGCCAAGGCCAAAGCTCTGAGTCACCCTCCCCAGAGCCCTCCCTCCAGGCTGACATCAAACCATTAATTATTATTCTTTGGGTCAAGTAGCTCACTCAGGTCTAAATCCACCTAACCATACCCAGTCCACAGCCAGGGGAAATGTGCCAAATGCCTTGCTGAAAATCCAGGTATATTTATGTCTACAGCACTCTATTCATCTACCTGTCTAGCAGCTCTGTCAAAAAGGAAGTACAGTTGGTCTGATTCAGATCACTATAGTAAAAAGCAGAATGTGATAAATGCCACAAGAGATGGGCTAAATGCCACAGGAGGAGTTCAGAGAAGGGTGAGATCACATTTAGTGAGAGGAGAGAAGAATAAAAGAAAGACTTCATGATATAGGTACCATTTGAATCTTTATCACGAGATGAGGGAATGAGCAGTTCCACTTGGTAAATGCAGGGTGTTAGGTCTCACAACGGCATCTATACAGCTTCTTCCTCTTGAACCTAAGCTTGGGGGCTCTTTCAAGAGGTTCATGCCTATACTCTTAACTTTTACCCAGTCCTATAGCAGAGCCATAGCAAAAGAGCTAATAATAGCAATTTACATACCAATTCCATAGCACTACATACTACATACTAATACCAATTCCATAGTACTTTAAGGTTTGCTAAGTGTTCTATGTATACTACTATTTTGTTTGATCTTCACAACAACCCTGTGAGGAAAATGCTATTATCTCCATTTTACAGATAAGAAAACTGAGGCTGACAGGGTAAGTGACTTGCCCAGGATCACACAGCTAAGTGTCTGAATCAGGATTTAAACTTCATAATTCCAAGTCCAGTACTCTATCCATTGTGCTACCTAGTTGCCTAAGGTGATTGGGCCTCAGCTCTTAGACATGAATATTTGGTAATATTTAGATTTCTCTCTTTTTTTGAATCAATCTGTCACTTTAAAGAAGTGTACTTGGATAAAGCCACTAGTAATTACTAGTATTAGGATTAATTTAATCAAATGATATTCCGCTAAGAAACTAAAAGCATGCAGATGTAGTCTTCTTTATTCTCACAAATTGCACATGTGGCAGAGTCAGTCAATCAATATTTATTAAGTGTTTACTACTTGCCAGGTACTGTGGTAAGTGTGGGCAGAAAGGCAAAAAAACAGTTTTTGCCTTTAAGAAGCTGAGTATAAAGTCAGGTTCACTTGGCCAAGGACCCACAATTAGCAACTAAACAAGGGCTTGAGCGCATGTCTCCCATTTCCCAGGGTAGTACTTCACTCACACTACACTAATGCTTTCTTTTGAGTTAACCTTCCAGGGCACACATAAACCTTTGTACAGGACAAACCTGACAGTTTCTCCTCCAAGGTTTCTTTCTCCTAATCTTATCTGTGATCTTTAAGGTTTCAGAGAAAGGTGTAATGGTAAACTCAATTACAAAACTTAACTGTACTCAATTTCAACTCACTCCTTAGGGAAGAAGGTATTTACTCTGTTCCAGAGACAAGAAAATGGAGAGACAGAGAATCTGGTTTGGGGCCACGTGGTGAATAACGGAGCGGAGACTGGAGTCCCCAGCATCTTCCTCTTAGTCAGATGCTCAGATTCTTGGGCCATCCTGATTAGGAATGGATGGTCTTTGAAGGAGGGCACACACCAACTAAACAAACAGGGAGGTGGGCAGGCCGCCTGCACAGAGGAAGTTGGGAACAAAGGCCATTAGATCTTTATGCAAAACCCAGTGTGCAAAGGGCACTAATGTTGGACATTTTTCACCATGACATTTTGAAAGCACAGCCTGGCCCAGAACAATGGCTTCCCTCAGGGAGCCATGCTCAGAATGCCCTATGTCTCACTCACTAATAGCTGGCACATCCCCTGAGCTTGGTGAACTTGACCCTGGGCTAATGCCTCCCATGGTGGTTGTACGTCACTCTCGCCATTTTTCCCACCCCTGGAATTCCAGGCTTTGGTGAATGAAGAGATTGATTCCAGGAGCAGGAAAACAGTTCCACGCATGAATCAGATAGACCAAACCCTGGCTCCCTGTGCCAGCCATTGAGCCAGGAACTGAATGTGATTGTATGCCTGGTCACCAGAGTTGTTCCCCTTTCAGGGGGAGGGGGTCAAGGTCCACGCAAAAGATGACGTGGGCTAAGTCCAAAGGGAAGAGAGACAAATCTCAGCTTTGGGAGACAAAGCTGCTCTCTTTAGCACAGTCTTATAGGGCAGGGTACAAAAGGTGGCTCGAAAATGTGGTAGTATAGGCCTATGACAGCATTCTTTTCAGTTCTTACAGCAGCACTTACTCACAGACTGTCCTCTTCTCCTGAAAGACCTCAGAAACCCAAGGCTACAGCCTCACTTTTACAGAATGTTCTTAGTGAGAAGATAAAAACAACTTCCTTGAGAACTTCCCCAGAGAACCTCTCACTCAGTAATCTTCTCCCAGGTTGAGAAGTAAAGATGAGTTCTGTTTGATTTGTATATTATACTCTGAGCACTACAAGGCAACTGCCCTTTCTGGTTCTAACCTTGAGAAAACTGGAAATTCATGGTGTGCTAAGTAGGGATGAATTTAGCCATAGGAGGAAAAAGCCCAGGCTACACTCTAAGAAACTGATTCCCCTGAGGAAGAATATCCCTGTGCTATCACTGTCTCACTGACTGGCAGGCAGAAGAGACTGTGATTTGGTTCTAACAGGACTGGAACATTAACTTCTCTAGGTAAAGGCCTGCAATTGGCCTCTAGCAGGAAAGGACATTAGAAAAAGAAGTAATTCCTAGAGGAGCTTACTAGGTTATTGCTTGGGGCTCTACCTAATGTGCTGGGGGATGTCAGTTCAATATCTGCACATAAATCTTAACACAGTAAGGAGAAAGATAATCAGAAGTGGTTTGGATTTCATACTACAAATCTGTTCCTGATGTTTATTGGCACATCAGCTGCTTCTAGGAAGAGCTCAGTTTCAAATGCCTAGGCAAAGAAATAATCTACAACTACCCATTAAAAGAATGTACATTCAAACCTCTCTATGACTAATGGACCTATCTAAAATGCTTTATGGACAATTCTTCTACTCTTATGCTCTAGGCACAAGGGTCTTGGTCAAAGGCAAGGCTCAGCAAAGCTGACAACTAGGCAGGAAGGTTCCTGAAAGCCTCCATAGAATGTAAGAGGGTAAGCAGGGGTAAAAGGTCTCTCTTCCAACAACAAAAATTAATCCGGTCTACAAAGAACAACCTGCTTTGCCAAATGGAGTCCCAAAGTCAATCAATCATCAAACATTTGGTAAAGGCTTACTATGTATAAAACATTGTCAAATGAAGTAGCAAATAAGGGCTAGAAGTTCTGCAGAATAGGGACCTTAACAGTTATTATTCAGACCTCTGACACTGTTCATATATATACATGTATGTGTTTATATGTTTATATGGGTTACTATATCTTTAAGAAGAAAAACAAAGATCTAGATGGTACTAGAATAATAGTGCTATAAATTTAAGACTACTGCTGTAGAGCTCTAGGGTTGTGAGATTCTTTTTAAACCCCTTTTCTTAAAGATTAGTCTGCTTAGGAAGAGTGAATTTTGGAGGCCTGGTTACACGAAAAAGGGCCTAGGACCTGGAGTCAAGAAATGATGACTTCAGTCCTGACAATTACCAGCAGTGTGTCTTTGGACAAGTTACTTCCTTGGGGTCTCAGTCTCTTCATCTGAAAAATGGGGATAACAACACAGACCCCATGTACCTCACCGCTTGTCTCCATACAACAGAGTGTTACAATGGAAAGAGCATTGGCTCGGTAGTAGGATGTCAGTTTAATTAATACTTGTGTGACCTTGGGGCAAGTCACTTAATGTCATTTAATCTCCCTTGGACTCAGCTTCCTCCTCTGTAAAATGACAGGGTTGGCTTGGGTGGCTTCTGAGGACCCTTCTGGCTCTAGAGCGATGATCTCATGATGGACTTCGTAAAAGGTTATTAAAATTATTCTTAGAGGTCTGGGCAAAGTGCGGTTTGGGACCCGAGCCGTGACTAGGTCCAACTCAGCCCCACCCCGCTAGGGCCAAAGCATTCACAGGTCAGATCACAGAAACGGAAGGGACCTCGGGGGTCATCTTATCGATCGGGTTTTATCCCCCTGCAAGGTCCCTGGCTCACAGCTATCCAGCCTCCGGGGACGGGGCAGCTGCTTTAACCAAATCCATTCCCTGCACTTCTGGGGGAAACTTGGCAGAAGCGCCAGAGGCTTGCTCCCGGACAGGGCCAGCCCACTGCCGGCCGGCGGGGAGAAGCTCAGTCGGAGGACCCCGGAAGGGGGGCGGGGCATCCCAGCCGGGGGTAGGGGGCACTTGGGGACTCAGAGGCGGAGTCCGGCATGAGGCACGAGGGGAAGCCTAAGGAAGCTCGAGGTGGGATCCGCTGGGTCTCACTCACCAGCTCATGGCGGCGGCGCCGCTGTCTGAGCCGCTCGTTGCGGCCCCGGCCCAGGCCTCAGCCCTCAACCCCCTTTGCCACGGCCACTTCCGGATTCGGGCCGTCTCCAGGAAGTGACGAATGAGACACTCCCGGAAGAGAGGCGGTGCGCGTGGCGCGGTGGGGGGTCGGTACCGGGCACGTAAGGGGTGGAACCAAATGTGGTTACCTAGTAACCCTTTCGCTGCGGAATTTATCGGCTATATCTCTGCGAGCCTCCCCTGGCCTAGTGCAGGCTCCAGCTGTCTCCTTTAAGCTGTCCCAGTACCCGCGCTCACGCCTCTTCCTTGCCTCAGTTTCTCCAGCTGCAGAAATGAATGCGCCAATACAGTAAAGCGCAATATGCATTTATTAAGCGCCTACTGTGTGCAGTGCAAAAAAAGAGAAGGAGGAGGAAGAGGAAGGCAGCCCTGGCTTCTGCGGAGCTTGGGAGGCTGAGGCTGAGCCCGAGTTGCAGGAGAGCGTGATAGGAGGAGGGGAAGAACAGCAAGGGGTCGCAGGCTGGACCTAGAGTCAAGATGACCTAAAGTTCAAATTCTGCGTAGCTGTGTGACCTTGCACAAGTCACTAGACCTCTCATCTGTAAAATGAGGATAATAATAGCCCCTACTTTACGAGGTTGTTGTGAGAATCAAATGACTTAACATGTGTAAAGCACTTTTACAGACCTTTAGGTAAAAGTTAGTCATTATTATTGTGATCCTTCATATTGGGGTTCAGGGATCATTTTCCAGGTTGTTCACTGATGAAGTCGAATGGAGAGCCATGGAAAGTGGGGAGTTTGAGGGTTAAGGGATTGTTAGGTTATTGCAGAAGTTGGAGCCTGGAAGCAGTGGAATGCACCCAATTATCTTTATTACTTTGTTGCATTCATTAAGTAAACATTTATTAAGTGCCTGCAAAATGCCAGGCACTGTGCTATGCACTAAAAACATATAAAGGACATAGCCTCTGCCTGAAAGAAACTTACATCTGTGGGGGTGGGGGTGGGGGTGGGGAGGTGGGGGAGGCAATATGGTCACAGATAAATAGGTAATATTAATTAATTAGTAGATCATATTAATAGATAATAAGTAAATACTCATTTTGGTTAGGGAGAACACTGATAATCCATGAGTCCCCCGTGGGGAAAGGCGATCAGGATGAGTCTCAAATGCTGCAGAGAGACTGAAAGGCTGAACTTTGAGAAAAGGCTATCATTTTGCAGTGAAGGGATCTCTGGTAACCTTGAAGAGAGCAGTTTTAAATGAATAATGAGGTCTCCTGTAGGAAATGATATTTCAGTCAAATCCATCAACAAAAACTTATTAAGGGCCTACTGTGTGCCAAGCAATGTACTGGGGAGACAGAGACAACATAATACAGCCCCCAACTGAAGGAGTTTCTATTCTATCAGGGGAAACATGTACTCATATAAGTCTACAGAAAATATCTACAAAGTAAATTACAGGGTATATAACAGCTGGGAGGATCAAGAAAGGTCTTTCGTGGGAGGTAGCATTTGAGCTGTGCTTTGTAACAAGCAAGGGGTTTTAAGATGTGGGGATGAGGAGGGAGAGCATTCCAGGCATGCAGAAAAGCCTGTGCATGAGATGGGATGGAACGTCAAGTAAGAGCAACAGCAAAGAAGACTGAAGTAGAGTAATGGCAGCTAGGGGGTGCAGTGGAGAGAGGGTGGTCCTGGAGTCAGGAAGACTGGGACTTCAAATCCCACCTCAGACACTTACTAACTGTGTGACGCTGGGCAAGTCACTTAACCGCTTTCTGCCTCAGTTTCTTTATTTGTAAAATGGGGGTGATAATAGTACTTACCTCCTGTGATTGTTGTGAGGATCAAGTAAGATAATAATTGTAAAGTGCTCAGACAGCGCCTAGCACATAGTAAGCACTATGTAAATTTATCTATAATAATAATAATTGTTGTTATTATTATTATTATTATTACCTCCCAGGGTTGCTGTGAGGATAAAATGATACAATAATTGTAAAGCACTTAGCTCTAAATAAATGTTACTTATTAGTGGATGCTTGGGAGTAGGGAAGGGCCAGATTTCAGAGATGTTATGGAGGTAGCAAGATTTAACATCTCAATGGACATGTGGTTAGTGAGAGTGAGGAGCCAGGAATGATTCTGATTAGGGACCTGGGTGCCTGGAAAGATGGTGGTACCCTTTATAGAAACAGAGAAGTTGATGTCCAAAACAGAACTATATTTTCTCCGTATTGAATTTGAGATACCTATGGGACATCCGTTAGAAATTTCTAATAGGCAGAGGATTCACAACTGGAGCAAGATATCTAGACTTGAGAGCCATCTGCATAGAGATGATAATTGAACCAATGGAAATTAATGAAGTCACCAAGAGAGAAAATGGAGGGAGAGAGAGAGAAAGTCCCCGGACAGAGCAAAGGAGACTTGAAAGGAACCCAGGAACTAAGAGAAAGCAGTGTCACAAAAACCCAGAGAGGAGAGAGTATCCAAGAGGAGAGGGTGGTCCAAAATGTCGAAAGCTGTGGGGAAGTAAAGAAGGAAAAGAATTAAGAAATGGCTCAGGTAGTCAGCAATTAAGGGATCACTGATAACTTTGAAGAGAACGATTTCAGCTGAGGGGTGAACTTAGGAGCCAGATGTCAGAGGCTGAGGAAGTGGGTGCAATGAGTGTATACAGATTTTGTCTCTGAAAGGGAGGAAAGATATAGAATAATATTTGAAATTGATGGTAGGGTCTACTGAGGGTTTTTCAGGTTTTAAGGAGGTTTGGATATTGCAAAGATGTTTGTAAGCAGGTGATAAGGAGCCAGTAGATGGGGAGAGACTGAAGGTTAGAAAGGGAGAGAGCCAAGCCTCCAAGGAGGCTATAGATTTTGAGATGCAGAGATGAAGAGGAAGTGCATTTCATCCGTGCAGGACAGCTCAACAAGAGCATGGATAATGCCAATGGCCTGGGCATCTCACTCTTCCTCACCCCACATATCCAGTTATTTGTCAAATCTTTTTATTTCTACTTCCAAGGCATATCTTGCAACTGACCCCTTCTCTTTACTTGAGCCCCTCATCACCTTTTTTTTTTTTTTAAGTGAGGCAATTGGGATTAACTGACTTTGCCCAGAGCCACACGGCTAGTGAGTGTTATAGGTCTGAGGTTGGATTTGAACTCAGGTCTTCCTGACTCCAGGGCCGGTGCTCTATCCACTGCACCATCTAGTTACCCCTTCCTCATCGCCTCTTGCCTAGATTATTGCAATAGCCTCCTAATTGGTCTCCTTGCCTCAAGACTCTCATCACTTCAGGCCTTCCTACACACAGCTGCCGAAGTAATTTTCCTTAAGCACAGATCTGACCATGTGAGTCTCCTACTCAATCTACTCTACTGCCTTCCTGCTGCCTTTAGGACGAAATATAAACTCCTCTGTTTAGCTTTTGAAGTCATATACAACCAGACCCCATCCCTTCTTTCCAGCATCATTGGACATCACTTCCCCCCTTTCCCTCCAGCTCTTTGATCCAACCAAATGGGCCTTCTCCCTCTCCTTCTCTCACATAATACTACATTTCTAACTCCCTACCTTTGCACTGGTCTTTCCTCAGGCCTGGAATGCATTGCCTCAGCATCATAGAGACCTTCTTTTTCTCTAAGATGAAGCTTAGGCACCCCCTCCTGCATGAAATGTTTCCTGATCCCCCATCTGCTAGTGTCTTCCAAAAGTTCTTGTATTTTAACTTCTGTGTACAAAAATATACATTTTTGTATTTATTAACTTTATATTCATGCTATATACTATATATGGAGCAAGTATATTTAACAATATATACATATCTAGAGAGAGACAGAGACAGACAGAGAAAGAGAGACAGAGAGAGACAGTTAAATATACTTGCTTCCCCCTTTGAGATATAAGCCCCTTGAAAGTAGGGATTGTTTTATTCTTTGTACTTGTATCTTTAGCACTTGGCAAAAGGTATATAGTAGGAGCTTAATAAATACTTGTCGATTGATATTTCTCTCTTATTACATGATTGACCCACCTCTTCTTCTGAGCACACATTTCACATACACACACATACACACACATATATGCATGTGTGTATACATAAATATATGTTATATATGTATGTTACTATTTCTTGCCCATAGATTATCCCTAGGACATACTTTGAAGGCTGCTTATCAACTCCATGCATCTTTCCTATGCCCTGTGGGACACCTATACCTTTGATTCTATGAAAATTGTGGTTTTCCAAGATTCAAAGCTAAAAACATCATTGGGAGACTATTTATGTTAACGAGATGTGCAGGGGATCTGCTTGATGTTATTGAAAGTATTACCCAGTTTCCCAAGCTCAATCCGCCCTTGTCTCTTCCCCCTATTCAACTGGAGGTCCAACTCACTGTCCATTTTTAGCACATATCTCAGATGTAGGTGCTGATGCACTAATTCAATAGACTCCATCCCAATACATGTCATAATCTACACAATTGGCACTTTTCTTCCATTTAGTTTTTCCTGTACAGACTTAATCTCTTTTGCATAATTTTGGATCTCATGAGGAAACCTGACGGAATCAGCATGACTTTTGTTCTAACTCGAGTAGATGGTCTTACTGCACACAGACAGCTGATTGCTGGCTCCAGCAGTAACCAGTGGCTACTGCTATTACCCAGCAGTATCCTATATTTTTTTGGGGGGGGCCAACTCCATCGGTTGTACCTTAGTGAGGGCAGAAAGGGGCAAACTTATTTGTTCATTATATTTTTATAAACTTGTACCTGCCATTATCATAATAATAGGTCACATTTAAATGGCACTTTAGAATTATGAATATTTTCTACACATATGGTCTTATCTGATATCTTCATGGTATTCAAAACCGGCAGAAAACTCTATTAGTGATCATCTAATCCAACTCCCTCATCTAATAAATGATCCTTACAGTAACCTAGTAAAATAGGTAGTACGAATATTATCTCCATTTAACAGATGAAGAAAGTGGGGCCCAGACAGAGGGAGACGGACCCAGGGTCACACAGTGAGTCTGTGTTGGAGCTGAGGCTA